TCTAGTTTGATTGATTGATGATGAACATTCCAAAATTATGACATACTGTGAAGTACAACCCCATAAAGCTCTATATCAATCCCAATTTATATACAAATAACGACCGATGCTGATAGAAAACCGCTTGTCTGACCACAGCAGTTGCCACATCATCACTACATTGCTAACTCTAACAGGCGGGGGAATCATCAAAATATTGTAACCACCACTGCTGTGGCTTTTAACAACTAGCAACTAATAACAGACTAACTTCAATATAAACCACCGATTAATTATAATACCCCCGCCGCAGAAAACCTGTAGACTAAACAAATGTTCATTTGACTGATTGGATTTACAGTAAAATATCTCTTTAAAAATATCACATTTATTCCCTTTCTATATATTATTAGTTTAACGAGTACTTCAGTTCCTCTGTGTTAAAAGACAAGGTGGACTTAAGTGGAGATAAGTAGCATTCATAACGATGTCAAACAAACATTTGTTTTAAAATGGTATTTGAAAAAATGCATATGTGAAAATACCCTGTGAAAACTAGAATACCTAAAAATATATGTTACGAACAAAGACTTGCTTGATGACTAAACCTTTCTGTAAATATTTTACAACATAAAAAGCCTTTTAAATAAGGAATCTGACGTTGACAATCCATTACGAAATTGAAGTTTTCAACGACGTGACAGTCTTGTCACATAAAACAACGCCTTTCAACGGAATTGTCGTTGCTTTATGGCAAAGTAATATGTTTTTCGAACACTCTAAGGAAAATTGGCCCCATTATTTTGTTGGTTATTTAATAATAAATTACAGTGTGGCGTAAAGCTTCTTGAAAACAAATAATTATACAGTGTGTAAATTAAGTCTTGAAACAAATCTGTATTTTTTAAACCGAAAATAGATAGAAATATTCTGTTTGCGGCGTTGACTGTTAACAAAGGTTCCGTAATTTTTAGCATCAAACATATTTTTTAACCTCCCTAACAGGGCAGGGGGTGGGGGTTGACTTATTTTTTTGAAATAGCAACCCCTATTGAGTGATCTCATTTCGAAGGATTTGTCAAAAGAAACACAATGACGCAAACCCGAGGTGGATATCTCACCCCTAGCCAAAATGGCAGGTATTCCAATATTTGATTTACTGTATGTGAAAAAGAGCAAATTTCACAAATATGGAAACAAATCTGTATTTTTTAAGCCGCAATAGTAAAACATATTCTGTTTGTGGAATTGATTGTTAACATAGGCTCCACAATTTTTTAAATCTACATTGTTTATACCCCCTAACAGGGTAGTGGGTAGGGGGTGACTAATTTTCTTCAAATAGCAACAACCTATTGAGTGACTCCTCATTTTGAAGGGTTTGTCAAAATAAATACAATGACGCAAACTCGAGGTAGATAGTTCATCCCTAGCCTATATGGCGGGTATTCCAAAATTTGATTTATGTGAAAAAGCTCCCATTTTGGAATACCTGTCATTTTAGCTAGGGGTGAGATATTCACCTCTGATTTGCATCATTGTGTTCTTTTGACAAGCCCTTCAAAATGAGGGGTCACTCAATAGGGGTTGCTATTTGAAAAAAAAATCACCTCTACCCTGTTAGGGGGGTTATAAATGTTTTGGTGAAAAAATTTGGAACCTTTGTTAAGAATCAATGCTACAAACAGAATATTTCTATCCATATCGGTTTTAAAAATACAGATTTGTTTCAAGACTTAATTTACACACTGTATATCGTATATCCTTATCATCAAGAGACTCCAATTAAGGTGCGTATATTAGGCTAAATATGAGTGTAGATTGGTGTGTGATGACCTGTGTAGCTTTGTTACTGACTAAGAGCAGCGGTTTCATTAACCAGGATCATATCTTTAAATCCCAATGATCAGCGACAGGTGGGTTCAGTTTCGAACCATCAAAGCGCTACTGGCTTTGCTCAGGATCGAACCGGCAACCTTTAGTTTGATAGATGATCACTATAACCACTCGGCTTTCCAGCCAGTCTAAATACTGTATACAAATTTAAATTTATTTACGTACACTTTTGATCAAACAATTTAATTCTTATAAATTGCACAAAGTTAAAAATGAACTCAGCAATCAAATGATGACAAAAATAGACGGCAAGTCGTTCCACAGAAAGTAATATTCTAATATAATTTAGGAATTTAGCCGAGAATGATTAATAGTCTGTGAGTACGCTCAGCTGCTATCAGTGACTTATCTAATTAATGTATAACTAATAAGAATATAAACGACGTTAAATTGAAACTTGAAAAAATTAGTGGTATTTTAACCTAACGTCAGAGTTGTTTAATCAAGGATGTATTTTTAATGTGTGATGCGTTAAATACATTTTGAAGTAAAGGATTGATTCGATGAGTTTGTGGGCTATAGTAAATATGACTAATAAAATGTCATAATCATATTCCGTCAAGTAATTGGACATCGAGGAGCAACTGATAGGACAAGTATAGTTTCATCATACAACATGAGAAAGTCCACTCATGATATCATTTCATATATAAAACAGCAGAAAACACATCAGTCCATTTTGATTTGTTTGGTGTTTTTATTCAATAATGTATGACGCAACAACCTAATTGGTAAAGAGGTTATTAATATGGTCCTCATGACTGTCGAATCTCTTGGGATCAATACTTGGTCTTTAGGTGGAAAATATTTTTAACCCTTTTTATGACTTTTAAAATACAAAATGGAAAAACAGGGAAATAAAACTCATTTATCAATATATCTAACCAATTAAAATATACTTTATTGTAAAAACCTTCTAACATCTGATTTAATTGTATTATTACCTAACTAGGCTCGTATACACTAAATTTACGATTTTAACAAAACAAGTTAATTACAAGTTTCTTATATAGCTGTGTTTAGTGAACGAAACATATTGATATTTTTGGCACGATTCGTGTAGATTTACCTTATTGTTGATTAACAATTGATTTTGCTATTTACATGTAAGTGAAGCATTGCCACATAAAATAGACCAACAAAATAGTTTAAACATAATACATTATACAGGGTAATAAATGTTTTGTTTATTAACGTTTCATTACTCAAAAATACAACATTGGTAAACGATGGTTAGTTAAAGAAAACAAATTTTCACTTTGAACTGCAAAAGTCCTTTAATAAAATTTTACCTTCAAATACTTGGGATTTACATTACGTATTTTTGATTGTGCAAACTCTTTATGGACACAATTGATTAGTTAAATTCGCCTAAGTAAAGATTTCAGTAATTTACATATTTACATGCTTAACAAACTGAAGAATTAATTGTAAAACAAGTCTCGAAACTGGATCAGTAAAAAAAAAATAGGTGTAATACCTGAAACTTAGTATGTGTAAATAATTTTGTCAAGTGAAAAAACCCAAGTTTAAAAAAAATATTGTTAATAAGTTTTATAAATAAACTATGAATAAATCCGTCCCAAAAGATTTAGAGAGCGAAAATAAAATAATAATAGGGAAAACATTGAGTATGTAGGTATTCTTAGAGAATTGAGGTACGAGAATTCCACAGAGAACACAGTAACATTGAATAACTAGTTCGGTGTAGAAGGTTTTAGGAGTTGGAAGGCACTGAGTTTTCCAGGATATGTAAATTGTCCTATGACTTATGCATTGTGGCTGCTTGAGCTTTACCTGACTCTTATATACACTTAAATCCTATAGTCACATCCATCAATGATGCCGACATATTTTAACATCGATAAATAAAAATGATTTAAATACAAGCACTAACAGTAACATTAAAATATACAAAAAACACTTTGAGGTTTCGAGTCTACGTAGATAACCTTTTAAAATACAAATGCAAGAGGTTCTGTTGAGTTGACTGTTTAATATAAATTTGTTTTAGTTAAAATATTATTTTAGGGCGGTGTCATGTATCTTATGTGGGTATTTATATCGCGATTATTTCAACAAGAAAATCGTAAACATTCAACTTGTAAAAACTAATTAACTCAAATAACCTATACATTTACAGATAACAAAATATGGCTTTATTTCACTTATGTGGTGGTTGTTAGTATTTAAACCTGTTTTTATACTTTTTTATCGCAACGGAAATCCATAACACAAATAATACTGTTGAATCCAAATAACCACAAACAATTGTTTTATCGAAACAAATATAGTACAATTACTCGTCGGATGGTTTTGAATTCGGTCAGACTTATACCCACTGAAATATATTACCATTGCTTGGATTTTTTATAATTAGTGAAATTTTGTTTACTAAAATTAAACCACATTTAAAGAAATATTTTTATTTCTTACTAACATTTTAGATTTTTTTTATTATTGGGACTATTTACTTGTAGTCTGTTCTGGACCCACCATTTCATCTGATCGGTTAAATATACGCAACATAAGTTAATTTCAAACCAGTCACACGTCACTTGGCGATTGGCAGGATTTGAACCCACACTTTCAAGATATCGTTTTAGGCCAGCAAATCTCCCTTCAATGTGAGACGTCTAAATACCCTTTATCATATTGCATTTCTTATAACTAAAAGTGCAAGTAGACTGCTTTTTAATATCTTAGTAACAAAATGACATTATACTAAAACTAATGAATACAACTATTGACATTTTTACAATTATTTTATTAGTCATATTAACCAAACAAGTACGGCACCAGTTTATTCTTGGATTGGAACAAATATACAATTATATTTCAACATTAGCTTTAATCTTAAACCATGGAGAGAAGTAGACATTCCATCCCGTGTTACAGTCATAGTCAGTTTTAGGCTGAAAATGAAAATAGTTGAATTTAGCCACTGAAACAGAGGATGCTGTTATGCTCACTGACTTGATCGAATACAACTATCGACTTTTCAACCATGCAACAAAATAAAAATAAAACTTCTGTAAACTATAGAATTCTTTCTTTCACATAAATCATTAGAATTTCGTTATCCAAGAGAGGAAATATAATTACCATAGTAACGCTTCCAGCATTTTACGAAATTTTCCTTTCTTCAGTATTAGAAAAATATTAATATTTCTCAAATTCTGTTGTCGAAATTGCTATCTATAATAGTTTAGGCTATATTCTTGTTGTAAGATGTTATGTTTCTTGCTACATTCAGTGCTGAAAAATAAACGGTTCAAGTCTAGTTTAGTTGGCATACAAAATCATTTCCACTGCATCTTGATACAAAATTTTATATTGCAATTGCTGCTGAAATAAGCCATAGGTACAACCAAAGAATGACTCATTCAATTATATTTATTTTTAACCTAAAACTGTTTAGCTAGGATTCATTTGAATCAACGATTGCCTACAGAAAGTTCATACAGATGGGATCCATACCCTAGTATCCAAAAGTCAACGATTTAACACTTCAACAGAGTCATTCACGTATCGGGTATCAACTGAGGATTGTCGAGGTGAGCAGAGCTACTGTCAAGTACAGTGTGAGGTGGGGGTTGTAGTACGAGGCTCCACTGAGAGCGCTAGCGTGACAGCTGAGGTCCTCAGGGTGAAGATCCAGCAATGGCGTCTGTCTATCAGTGCGAGGGTCGGTACAGGTGGCGCCCCTAGTGGCCAACACCAGGTGCTGAGCCGCGTCTAGAGGAGCCGTGTGTATCTGCAGAGCCTCCCTGAGCCACCGTCTCAGCCAATGGCCGACCCACACTAGACCACAGTCGCACATCCACGGGTTGTCGTGGAGTAGGAGTCCTCCTGTGGAAACACCGACCATTAATTAATTAATTGTGTCATAGTTTGTAATGTACTGCGTAGCCAAGTGATTTTAGTGTTCAAAATCAAATATTGAAGCTGCTCGTTCAGTCGAATAAAACCCCATAACATGCAAAGTTGATTTTGACCCACTCTTTTTTTCACTGGCATGATAAAAAGGTGATAAAAAGGGCAGAGTTTAGCCGTTCCCTTACATCTAAAAATACCAATAGTGTTAAATACTCAAAATATAAAAAGTGGATCAATGAAATTCAAACTCAATTACATAAACGTTGAATAGTGTTTCAAGTTTCAAGAATCCAAACTAAAACGTAAATATGTTAACCTCTTTTAAGAGTGTTTCACCCAATTACCAAAGGTTTTTAGCTTTAGATTGACGTCCTAAGATAACTCGTTTTGATGATTGGACTCATAATTTATAAACTAAACCCCGTCCTGCCTTACGATATCGGACATGTTAATATTTGTTAAACTATTATGTAAAAAATCTATATCAAATCACATTTCTATGTTAACCAGCTTATAGAGCTAATAGAGAGAACTTGTTATACCAGCTTGTTAAACAAGTTTTACCTAGTGACTCGATTGGAAACTAACTATTTATCACAATCTAAATATTTAAGATAACTCACATACTAAGAGTTGTTTAAGTAGTTTCATTGAGTGTTGTCTCTAATAATTATATGAGAGAGGAATTTGAAAATTCAACTATCTCTCAGTTAATTAATTTTGCTCCGTTGAGGAAAATGCATAACATAGTTATTTATATTGAATTTTAACATCATTCATTGACAAACAAACAACTTTGATGACTTTCTCTCCCTTTAGGAATAATAGTGTAATACCTTAATAATAAGCTTATTAGCAGTTTTTAAACTTCATTTATATAAAGGAACGGAATAGTTTTCTTAGGGAAACTATCGATTATGCTGTTATTTTTGTTCAGCCAAATTCACTAACTACTAAGTTATTTGCAGGTTTGTTTTAAAATAAATAAACTATGTTGGAGGACCTTATTAGGAAAGAATTTGTGTCCATTATGCTTCATCTGATAGAAATACCACTTGAAACATTTTCATTGTTTCTGCATGGTTTTATTATTGTTTTAACATTTAGGTTTTTGAAACGATAATTATAGAGGTAGTATTAAATATTATAAGTTATAGACAGTAAAATCGGTACCTGCTATAAGCTTGGTTCCCACATGTTCCCAAGAGGTAGCATTTGCATAGAACGCGGCTGGACTGAGTGACTGAAGACTGTTATCTCTCAGATTGATGGATAGATGAGCTGTCTGGGCGAGATCAGAGAAGAACCCTGTAGGGATGTCCTGCACCTGGGTACCTGAGATCTCCACCACTAGCTCCCGGGAGTGTTTCAGCGCCTCCAGAGCCCCTGGCTGTAGCCTAGTCAGGGAGCGACCTGACACTACCAAGTGACGTAGTCTAGGCAACGCGAGGCCTCGGAGCTGGTCTGACAGAGTGTCCTCCAACACGGTCAGGGACAGCTTCCTGCAGAAAAGCGGGAAACGTTGGGTTTTAGTAGGGTACGCAAAGGTCAAAATACTAGACTGGTATGTGGTAATAATTTGTGCATTGATAATGGTTGGTCAATGATGATTTATGTAGATAATTTAAAATCTATTTCAGTTTCAGTTACTGAAAACGATTTTGTTGCTGAGATTTGTCTTATCTCCAAAATATGATCTTTCATATGGGGTTTTATACTTTTGTAGCAAGTTTATTCAATTACAGGGGGTTCTTCTCTGTATATTTATTTGTCAGAGATTTCATCGAACTAATATTAATAGGTGTAAACGTCTTAGGTTTGAGTTAGTTCGGGTTCAGAAACTTAAACATTTTTTTAGATCAATAGACCGTCTTTAATTGGTAAACTACTAATTTAAAACACCACATAATAACATCATGCAGATACTGTACAAGTAGTGTCTTAAGTGTGAATAACATCAGTTCATCCTCGTCCTTACCTCAGTGAGTTAACCCCTTGCAGCAGTGAGGCCAGACGGAAGCGCTGATGTCCCAGCCAGGGTCAGCTCTGTAGCTGTAGAGAGGTCAGTGACCTCAGAGATGCTAAGCTGCCCGCGTCCCAACGTTCTAGTCGCCACAGGTCAGTCAGGAACAACGATTCAAGTCGCCACAGTCCGTGGAAACTGTCCGACGTCAGGGTCTGAGGAGACAAGGTTTAAAGATCAGGATAATCGTGTATAGTCGTTGGAAATACTTACAGAAATTAAAGAAAGATTGGTAGTATTTAAAAATTATATAAATCTGTTATTTGATTATTAGCTCGAAAGAACTGTTAAAAATGACATTCTAACTTTGTGAAACAACTGTATAAAATATACAGCTTAGTTTGAATTAATATCCTAAGTTTATTTACATTAATATTTTCCTGTAAAATAAACCAACCTTGATAGGATTCGACGAAGCGTCCAAGTATTTTAACAATGGCAACTTTTGCCAACACGATGACGGCAAACTAGTGAGTCTGTTGCCACGAAGGATGATAGTCTTGAGGCTTGGGAGGCCCTCTATGGAGTTGGTGGGAAGCTCTTCAAGGTAGTTCCCGGTGAGATTGAGGTAGTTGAGTCTGGAAAGTGGGAATACAGGAGCAATCTTCATCCCAGTGTGGGACAGATCGAGGTGTCGAAGCCTCGGGATGTAGTGCAAAAGTTCTTTGAAGTTAGCTGTCAGAGCATTCCGGCAGAGTTTCAGATTGAGGAGGTTGCCAAGACTAGTAAACACATTGTCAGAGAGTATGTTTAGTTTATTGCGACACAGATTCAAGTGTGATAGGAACTGAGTTTCGTGGAACATAGTGCTGTCGATGCGATCTATTTGGTTGTAGGACAAATCCAAATGACGAAGAGTAAATCCAACATCACCTAAAGCTTGATTAGGAAATACGACAAATCCGTTATTAGACAAGTCCAAGCCTTCTAATCTTGTGTTTTGGAACACCTCTCGTGGTAAAGACCGCAGGTGGTTCGATGACAGAGAAATTATTCTTAGGCTGGGACAGTTGGAAAATTGTGATACTTGCAGGGACTTCAAGTGGTTATGTGACAAATCGAGTATTTGTAAACTATCTAACCCATAGAAAGCTTTTCTTTTAATACTTAAAATCCCATTGTGTTGTAGATTAAGCGTTTCCAGCTTGGTCAGATTGGCAAAGCTTAAAGGATGTATTTGGTAAATCATATTGTACCCTAAATTCAACTTTGTCAATGTTCCTGACATGGTGTTTAGAAACTGGACTGGAACTTCAATTAACTTGTTGTGGCTTGCATCCAACACACTTACTTTGATGGTTTGTCGCCAATCTTCCTGAGTTAAAGCTGATATTTCATTGCGGGAAATGTTGAATGAAAAGGTTAAGTTTGGACCCTGCTTATCAAATATATTTAACGATAGCTCTCGAAGTTCGTTCATTTGAAGATCCAGTCGTGTAAGTTGCGGAATATGAACGAAAGCTCCTGGACTTATGAAACTTATTCTGTTCTGGGAAAGAATCGCTTTCATTAGCTTCGGAAGACTATGAAACGAGCTTGAATGAATTGCTCTAATATTGTTTCCTGCCATGATAATAGATTGAAGATTTACTAGGTAATAAAATGTGAAGGAGTCTAATTTGTTAATATGATTGTATGATAACCGTATGTCTCGAAGATTCCCATGAACACTTCCGTTAAAAAGTCCAACTGGGATGTCTGTTAATCTGTTTGACTCTAAATTTAGATATTGCAGCTTTTCGAAAGTATTTAAAGCGCTTTTAGAGATAAGTCTGATATTGTTGTTGTCTAGGGCTAGCCAACCCAACGATGTCAACGGTCGAACAAAATCTTCTGGAAAGTCATCTCTATGAAGCCCAAAACTTATTTCGAGACTCTCTAAACTCCTAGCTACATCAATGAATGCGTCTGTCTCGACATCAATTAGTCTATTAAAAGACAAACTTAACTCTCTCAAATGAGGTGTGTTATTGAACAAGTTGTTTCCTAGTCTCATTATTCTATTATTTTGTAACAACAAAGTGTCTACATATTCTCCCCACCCTACAAAGTCTTCAGAATTCAACTCTCCAATCAAGTTGTACCCGAGGTTCAGGTGAGTTAGCTTAATACATTTCGACAACGCCTCTTGAGGGATCTGAGATAGTTGATTTCCCGCCAAAGACACTGCTTTAAGAGTCATAGAAAAATTACTGAATGCACCTTTGTCAATTTCTAATATTTTGTTTCCTGGCATATACAAATACTTCAATTTCTTTAACCTACTTACAGCACTTGGAAAACTTTGTATTGAATTTCTATCGAGATCTAAGTATTCCAAGGTGTTTTCCAATCCTAAGAAAGCAGCATCGGAAATATTCTCAATCTTGTTCAAAGCTAGAATGATTCTACCAGCATTTGTGCCGAGAAAAGCTCCATCGTTAAGTTGTGTGATGTTGTTCGAGTCTAGATTCAAGTCTCTCACTGCTAGAGATCCGTTGAATAGCTGATGTATCTCCGCAATGAAGTTGTCTCCTATGTCTAGCTTGTCTAGTTGCTTACTCCGCCTCAGTGGTTGTCTAGACACACTCTTCAGGTTGTTTCCTCTTAGACAAAGTCTCGTTAGTCTTCCGAGAGGTTCTATGTCCATCAACTCTCCCAGCTGGTTGTTCTGGACACTGAGTGTCTGTATAGACATTGGGAGACTGTCAGAGCTCATGTTCCGCAACTTGTTGTGGTCCAGACTGAGCCAAGAGAGATGTCGCAGCGACGTGAGCGCCTCTACTGGCAACTCCTGCAGGTCGTTCTCCCCCAGGAACAACGTGTCGAGTGTGTCCTTCAGGTGGGACCAGTCCTCGACCGCGAGGGAAGATATACGGTTACTGTAACAGACAACACACAATAATTATCAAACAAGTCTAGCCATCTGTATTTGAAACTATTTATATTATTAATACGCTACATGAAACTTTGTGAACAATAAGGCTATTTTTGTTTTAAGATTTACAGCCCCATTATATACCAATTATTATTATTATATACCAAAATGTTCGTCTAAGTTTGTAAATATAAAAACTGGCTTTAGTTTTTCGATATATATATTTTTAAGGGCGTGGGCTGCCCTCAAAGTTTCACCCGTAAGGATAACATTGTGATTGATTTGAATGATAACAATCTAAAACAGGTGTCAATACATTAGTTTTCCATCAAAAATAAATCTCAGGTGTTTTGTTTGGTTTTGAAATGTAAACAGTTTGCATGTTTTAAAAATACTTAAAAGTCGGCATCAAATGTTGCTATATATAGTAAACGGCGGGAAAAAAACCTAGGACGAGACAACAAAGAAATATTGCTGGTCGGACATGGTGAGACGATATAGAGCAAGCAATGTAAAAATTAAGAAGCCCAGACGAGGAGCTGGAACAGTTAGTGGCAACGTGAACTTAGAAAATTGCACTGTAAATCGCAATGGTCAGCACTCGAGCTAAAATTGAAGAACATAACGGCAGATGGCCTTTCATGTATTAGGTGTACGATATCATTTATCACTCAATTGGCATCTTACAACCGTCAGAAGGGGTGTATGCCATATACGCCCATATTTATATCTACGACGTCGAAACTACAAGTAACTGTTCAAGAAAGAATGCCAAACAAAGCTAATAACTCGTAGCACTGAACTCATGCACATTTTGACTCAAAATTTGGTTGAAATTAATCCATACGCGCGAGTTGTCAATATGATGAGCTGCGTCCCGCAAAATACTTTTAGTGAACAGCAAAACTAACTTAGAATCCATATTGTCGACGATCGAGCTCAAGATCAACGATAAAACTTCTAACGATGTTGCTATCATTTTAGGCCAAACGATGGCGAAACACCAAGTGAGCATAAAGACTTTATTATTTACCCAGATCAGCCGCTTAGAAGAATTTCTATTCTTCACTCTTGCCTGGATCGAATACTTACTGTTGCTTTTTCCTCATGGAGATGAAGATTGGCATACGAACATGAAGCACAGCAATATACGCTACCGGACAACGAACCTCGCTTACAATGCTGCGATACGAATCCTATCGATTTGCTAAAGAGAGACTTTTAGCACAATAAGATATGTTGGACTCAGTCGTGCAAAATTCATTGGCGCGGCAAGGGTTTTCTTTACAGAAACTGACAAACAATTTGTAGACAGTGAAAGTTGCGTCCAGCTAATGTTGTTTTTAAATGGATTTAGTAAACTGTGCATTTATTTATACTAGTTGCTCTGCCCGTGCTTCGCTACGGGGTGAGAATGCAGAGAAGAATAATTCGGGTTTACTTTGATAATATACTATGAGAAACAGTTACAACACACTTACCAGGAAACATACGGTATAGGCAAAAGCTCAATCCTGCTTATTGATTATTTAAATTAAGATCTCTTAATGTATTACAGTAATATCATTTTATATATTGTATAGCAATTAAAATATATGCAAAAGTATAATTCATTGACCATATGGCACCAAGAAACAATTCTCCTTGTAAACAAATTAAATTAAATAGCAGAACAGCACTTCTGACAACAGCTGTAGTTTCATAACAATGTTTGTTTCCCATGTTAATCTTATGGAGAAATACAAAACTTTAAAGGGCCCCAGGGCCTCACTCTCTAATTATTTCCCTAAAAAGAAAGTTTCCTGCACAACTTCACGTTACGCTCTTTCCAATGACACCAAAAACATGTCAATCGGTTCAGTAGTTTCGGAGGAGTAATTGTCACAAAAATCCTGCTTGCGTATTAAATAAGTATAGATTTATTTAGAACATGTTATAAATGTAGCTTTATTCATCATCGTATTATTAAAAAATAATTAACTATTTGTAAACCCGCATTACCGTTTTGTCATGAATCAATGTTGAAAAGTAGTGGTTTAAACAGATCCACAAACCAACTAAATATGTATTTATAGTATTTAATACATTATGTAAGATATTTAACGAGTTATACATTTTAATGTTATTCCTATTGTGAATATTAAAAAGAATGGGTGGTTGATATGTCGGTCTAGAAGAATATATGTAAAAATATAATCCTAATGTTATCGTTAGTTTTGTGAGTGAATAACCCTCGAGTAGCTCATGCAATTGGACACTCCCCTAAATGGGAGTACTGTATGCATTGTTAAATCGAGAATTTGCTCGTGTTTTATTTTTTATGATATGGACAGGAATATGAATGTATAGTAATACAATAATCTTGAAAATTAATGGCGTATTTTTTACATTGATGAAATTATTTGTACTCCTCTAAATAATATGCGTGCTAGTTGAATGATATCTCGAATAAATTAAGAACATAAAAATAGAAGTTTGAAAATAATTACCTATATAGTTTTACGGAACAAATCATTTTCAATACAAATATTAAAAAAATTATAATTGTACTTAAGTAAATAGTATGAAACAATGTTTAGATAGCACACGTCTTTGGTAATATTAAACTTATCCCTTAAGGAGTAGTTTTAATTAGACGGTCTGAATTTATAAAACCTAATAAAGGATTGTGTGGTTTTATCTTCTCATATCACAACTCTGATATTCATTAAACTATCTTGCAGCTGAAATTGTGATTTGTTTGGTAGCGTAATTTCCCTGACGTCCAATTTATTAATCTCAGCTTTCCAGCCGCATCCGCACAGTTGTTATGCATGAATGATTTATCTGGCCCGTCGTATTAAAAAATTAAAAATTTCTTTACTCAAACCTTATAGAAATTATTTTGTTCCGTATATGATATATTAAACAAGATGGGTTATAGTCCTCGGTTAGCAATTAGAAGGTCACCGCCTCTAAATGTTATGGTCCAAACAGGGCATAATTGGCATTAATCATTGGAATATGCTAATTAGTTTTCACCCTAGAAAACTGCTCATGGTAGCTATTTCTATGCTACAAAGATACTTCCCCAATTCTACTCTCACATATAGCTCAAAATACGCAGCTCGGTACTGTTTCTGTATTTAAAAGAAATGATAATCATAATGCTAATAATGATCATGGTACATTGAAAGCACAGTACTTTACCTCTGCAGGTTGAGCCAGTTCAGCGCCTTGAGGGATCAGAGAGCTTGTAAAGGTAGTTCATCCAACTGGTTCTGGCTGAGGTCTAGGGATCGAAGTGAGCCGGCCATACTCCTGGAACAATATGTGAAAAGTATCACGTTATGTTCAGCTGGCAGATATATCAATAAATCCAAATGTGTTTTATCAAGTAAAATCTGATACCTAAAAATACAATACCTAAAATTGAGCTTTTCACTAAGTCTAAATACGTTCACTATTGTATTAATCTAAGTAACGAATACTAACATTTCCATTAAAGGAATGCATTTTACTAATTACAAAAACTATTAGGGCAAAATATTTTCAGTGTTATCTTATACTTATGTGGGGGACATGTTTAAAAGAAGTTACTAAAATATTCTACCTGAACGAGTATGTTCGACTTACGGAAGCACTTCTAAGAATAAAAAAGGATAACATTTGAAATAAATAACGTCTTTATCTTAGAGTGACTTTAAACCACGCAGTTTCTTTACAAAGAAAACCAATTAAAAATATAATAAATGTTTAAAAGTCACCAAATAGTTATCTACACTTACACTTAAACACGCCAGTTTAATTTAAAATATTCTGCTTCCAACGTTAGATTGGGTGCCTTTTCTAATTAATGGTACCCCAGACCTTAAACCATGAATTAAAAATCCCTATTAGCTATTGACCCATGAAAAATTACAGACATTGTTAGTATCAATAAATAAAATTTCGGCTAGCCTAACAAGGTATCCGTTTGTGTATGGATTATAATTTAATTGTTGTAATGATAATACAAATAATGGGATATAAGTAATAAAATGTTACCTCCTTGGCATAGATGGATATTGAATGGAGGTAAAGGCGCGGTGCAGATTATTAAATCCACCGAATGGTCTACGTAATTTGGAGCTTAATTACTTTCAACTCTACAATAATAGAATGAGGTAATAATTGTTCGCGGAATTTCACTGTCAAATTTGTAACGATAGGTTTGTGAAGTGTATTGGTTAGCTAATTTTCAGCAAACTACAAGTTAACATTGCTATTATTAAATTTATACAGTATTAAAATGAGTAAAATATACGGAATCACTGTAACAATTAATACTAGAACTATCTATTGGACTAGTTAACAAGGATTATTTGCCTTGACGAGATATTATTTGGGTCGTACATGTTTTGTGGAAATATTGTCACCATAGTGTTAGCAATCCCTTTCTCGGCATTACATCACCAAACGTTAACTTCTTATCAGTGTCCCAAGGTCAAGGGTGTGGTGTTTATTTGTCTCCAATGTTTGCAAATGACGCAAGCTGGAAGCGGCCATGAATATATTGGATTAATTGTTTCATGTTTGTTTTGCAACACTTCTAATATTTCTTATATAAATAAAACAAGGTGATCACTACACGAAGAAGTGGAGTTTCTTGCTGTAGGTGTAAGATAAAAGGCGATTTAGAACGAATGGGTCGGATCTGAGACAAGGACAATAGCTTTTCAGAAATCCTTTGTTCCCGGCATAACAACTCCACACTGTGTATACACCCACTTCTTTTATTTTGTGCCTTTTGTTTTCTTTACTCTATGACGATAAGTCTTGCAGGTTATAAAAAATGGGCACAATAAATAATGTACCTAATGTATTTTTTTTATATCAATTGATACTAGAATATTATTCCCAAATACTGACATGGAATCTGTAAATGCCTTTGGGATAGAAACTTTACTGCATTATTGAAAATAGTTTAAACTATTATCACTTTTTTATCCCTTAGGGGAGACGACCCACGAAAACCAGAGTTCGCTATCTCTTTTCTATCTAAAATGGTAGCCCGTAAAAAGTGACGTTACTGTTACATTTATTTTCTTGTGCAATAAAAAGTAATTTCCCTCCCTCTAATTTGTTCCTAAGTAAATATTACAGAGTTATCCTTTGGATGGTCATGCAGTTTGGCAGGAAGTTTCATTTTATGATTTTGAAAATTTGGGTGTCCCCCAAAAAGGGGGACTTGCGGGGCAACTCAAAAAACTTTAATGTAAACCCCTTCAAGTGACCCCTCATTTTGAATTGTTTACAAAAACTTAAAGAATGGTGAAAACCAGAGTTCAAAAAACCAGGGTTCTTCAAAATGGTAGCCAATATTACGAACCAATATTACCATTGATTTTCCACAAAATTTGACGGTCTACTATTATGGATAGAGAAGAGATAGCAAGCTCTAGTTTTGACCATTCTTTAAGTTTTTGTAAACACTTCAAAATGAGGTGACACTTGAAGGGGGATTACATTTAAAATATTTGTGTAGCCCCCAAATCCCCCCTTTTGGAGGACACTAAAAAATTTCAAAATCATAAAATGAAACTTCTTGCTTAGATTGCACGACCACCAAAAGGATATCTCTGTATATTTACTTAGAAAAATATTAGAGGGGGTCTTGGCTTTTTATTCACCCTTTAAATCGTGATTATTAACAACCGTATAAAAACAGTAATAAGGTTGGTGCACTAACATACCTTACTTCTCAGATTTTGCCATTATTTTGGTTTGGGCTGGATAATTTGAGAGTGCACCGCTCTTGAATTAAATTAACTTGGCGAATCTTTAATTTTGCAGACAGTACTGCCATTTTATTCGAGTTTTTCAATAAAATTTCAATCCATATTTTTTAAATTGTTATTGAAATGAGTCAAAAAGGATCTGTATGTTGAAAATACGAGCAGACAAAAGCAATCATATTGTTCCTAAAAGAATGAACAACTTACGAGAATGACCTATCACCGATGTGGATGATGTTGTTGGTGATCAGACGAAGAGTCTCGACCTGACCTCCCAGACTGTCACTGTCCAGAGTGTCAAGACCAGCGCCAACCACATCCAGGTGTGAGATGTGACTATGTGGCAACTCTGTAATGCAGAACAGATTGTGAGTTTGATTCGTGTTATTATATATTTAAAATTCCTTTTAAAATCGATCAAGGATAATTCGCTGTACACTTAAATTATGAAATGAAATGGCTGGAAATTTAGCAGTACCTACACCAACTGTATTGGAGAGTGATGTTTATTACTTTAAAGAGTTTTTAAATGTATGTAAATGTTTTAAGCATTCGATAAGGATTTACTTATACACGAGTGGAATCAACAAATTTTTATTCGAACGGTTTCAAATTGATAATATTGGATCAAATTATCCCTTAAAATATCCATAAAAGGGGGTGACGATATTTTAAAGTGGTTTGAAGGTAGTTTACCTTTGTAAATTTGTATTATTTTGTGTGGTTTGGTCCTGGAACGAACAATATAAAATATTCCGTCACTAGTGCGCCTCGAAGAGTTAACAACTTTAAATGTATGTAAAACATTACACCAATTCTAACAAAATACAAAAAATGCCAAAAAATAACATTCTCCTAGAAAGGGATTTTCTAACATGTGGTATGGACTGCATTTTCATTGCGTTTTTTATTATATTAGACATTGCGCAATGAAGTGTGACAGTAACCATTATTCAAAAATAGATTAATTTGAAAGTGAAATAGAATACATGATCTAATCCAGCTTATTGATTACTGCAATAATTATATTCAAATTACGAATTTCATTCTTTACCTGGCATCTTGTAGAAAGGTACGCCAACACAGCTGACATCTTTGATTACAGTGGAGTTTGTGTAGCGACAAGAACACATGGTGTTGAAGAGACAAGGTTGAGACTGCTGACTGGACGTGAGGTGACTCCACAACATCAACATGACAAAGCACAACATCCTGCGATACTGGAACATAAACGTAAATATTGCTATTACAAGTAGACTATCTATAGTGACAAGAACACATGGTGTTGAAGAGACAAGGTTGAGACTGCTGACTGGACGTGAGGTGACTCCACAACATCAACATGACAAAGCACAACATCCTGCGATACTGGAACATAAACGTAAATATTACTAATACAGGTAGACTATCTATAGCGACAAGAACACATGGTGTTGAAGAGACAAGGTTGAGACTGCTGACTGGACGTGAGGTGACTCCACAACATCAACATGACAAAGCACAACATCCTGCGATACTGGAACATAAACGTAAATATTGCTATTACAAGTAGACTATCTATAGCGACAAGAACACATGGTGTTGAAGAGACAAGGTTGAGACTGTTGACTGGACGTGAGGTGACTCCACAACATCAACATGACAAAGCACAACATCCTGCGATACTGGAACATAAACGTAAATATTGCTATTACAAGTAGACTATCTATAGCGACAAGAACACATGGTGTTGAAGAGACAAGGTTGAGACTGCTGACTGGACGTGAGGTGACTCCACAACATCAACATGACAAAGCACAACATCCTGCGATACTGGAACATAAACGTAAATATTGCTATTACAAGTAGACTATCTATAGCGACAAGAACACATGGTGTTGAAGAGACAAGGTTGAGACTGCTGACTGGACGTGAGGTGACTCCACAACATCAACATGACAAAGCACAACATCCTGCGATACTGGAACATAAACGTAAATATTGCTATTACAAGTAGACTATCTATAGCGACAAGAACACATGGTGTTGAAGAGACAAGGTTGAGACTGTTGACTGGACGTGAGGTGACTCCACAACATCAACATGACAAAGCACAACATCCTGCGATACTGGAACATAAACGTAAATATTGCTATTACAAGTAGACTATCTATAGCGACAAGAACACATGGTGTTGAAGAGACAAGGTTGAGACTGCTGACTGGACGTGAGGTGACTCCACAACATCAACATGACAAAGCACAACATCCTGCGATACTGGAACATAAACGTAAATATTGCTATTACAAGTAGACTATCTATAGTGACAAGAACACATGGTGTTGAAGAGACAAGGTTGAGACTGCTGACTGGACGTGAGGTGACTCCACAACATCAACATGACAAAGCACAACATCCTGCGATACTGGAACATAAACGTAAATATTACTAATACAGGTAGACTATCTATAGCGACAAGAACACATGGTGTTGAAGAGACAAGGTTGAGACTGCTGACTGGACGTATCCAAATAATACTATAACATTCTTATTGATAGATATTGTTTTTTTTTTTACAAAATATGGGGATAAAATTTAATGTCAGGAAATTGTATTTTCTTCTGATATCCATGTGTTCAGCCAATTATTTTTTACCCAAGGAATGACCCTACTTTAACCTCAAAACTCTATTGAAAACCTACGAATTTACGTACTTACAAAATAGTGCCAAACGGTATAATTTGTTTAGGAATATATGAATGTACTGATCATAAATGGCGGTTTACTATAAACTTAACTTCTGAATAATCTTACAAGTTACAATGGAAATTATAATTTAACACTCTTTAAAAATCTTAAATCCAAAAATCTCATTAATTTCCGCCTGAGGTCTATAAAAGTTATAATTAATGTAAACAAAGAGTTTGAGCGTTACTGCCTGGCGTCAAACACCTTCTAAATGAATTTTACTTTACGGATTTTCATCTCGTTTTGCCCTGAGGAATAAAGCGCAGCTTCTAAAGGCTATATTAATTAAACAATTACATGATCTTTTGTAAAATTGTATTATGGTTGTTAGCAGTTATGTTCAAATAAATAAACATGAACTGATTTCACAAATTGTGTAATTATGTTAATAAACTAAGAAATTGTTTAGTTTATCAAATATTGATTGGTGAGACCTTGGCATAGAAGATTATGAATGAGTAGCTAGACATTGCTTATGGATGTCATATGCTTATAGGATATGGAAATAGTAAGATTTATCAGCACAGTTCATACTACAGTACTGCTGCAAAATATAACTTATAACTTTGTAACAAGCTTTACGTACATGCCCAAATCCCTCATGGTAGCAAAAATTCAAAATTAGGCCACTGGTGTTTAAAAAAAAAACGTTTAATCGACCATACATTGTCATTAAAATAGGTTGTCTTGAAAGTATAAAAGTATTTGTTTACACATAGAATAGAAAATAGCTACTAGAATTGATTGTATTAGATACTACGTTGACATAAGGTGGCTTATTTTTTCAAGTCAAAGATAAGCGAAGAAGTTATAAATTAGTTGGATATATTTTACCGATTCACATCAGCTGTTACTTTCGCCAGAACAATTATACTGTTAGCATAATTCAAAAACTTTAATAGTCGTTATGTAATTTTACATAATTGTTTATACTTATGGCGAGACATTTAGCCTGTTTTACGCGTATATTTTTATGAGAAATTGTCTTCGAAGCTTAATTTTATGAGAAAATATAATTTAAGGCTTCGAGATATAATTTAGTAAAATATTTCTTAGGTTTACCATTGCTACCAAAGATGCAACATGTTGTTTAAAATGTCATTATTTTGCGTTTTAAGTAAAACCTTAAAGAGTAAATTCTCTTCTTTTATGTCCTTTTAGCCAAGAAGAGACTGCTACACCGCTATCTTTTTACAGCTTTGACTTTTTACAGCGATCCCCTAAAATATTTACATAATAAGGCCTTCGTCAATGTACCACTCTCTGGAGATGAATTGTCATTTCTATCTTAATATAATCTGTACATATTTTACAATAATTTTTACATTTTGTATTTTGTATTTTTTTTAGTGACTTTCTCATTAAAAATACGATTTATTTTTCACCCAAAGTGAACATAATCCGTTCTTTAGGCTACTTATGTTTCAAAACATTATTCTACGATTTTCAAGTACATTAAAATAAATTAATGCCAGCACAACTTACATTAAAAAAACGTGGTCTAATATGACATGACAGTAAAACTATCATTTGGTAGTGTTCGTGTATTAATGCCTGAATAACGAACAGAATAAGGCAAAGCCCGACATACTCCGCAAAAAACTGTACGTTTTCATACTGTATATCATATATATTCTTTTTGTATTCCACAAATGCTTTTTTACTGATTAAAAAATCTGTTGATTGGTCAAAACGAGTACAAATACGATATCATTATAAAGGAGAGTGATCAATGAAGCAATGCTGACTTAGTTTAGTCAGTCACTGAGTGAAAATTACTGTATTCATCAACCTAATGGAAGCAGGGTGCTTTGCATAGCTTTAATGTAACAGAATGTATTTTACCCGGAAGCAAAAATCTCTTTTAATCATTCCCAATGTATTTTCATTCAGTTATCAAATTCGTTTTTGGCAAACAAATGTACTATATGAATTCACTATAGCTATAGAGATTAGGGCACTTATCATTGTATGAAAATATGTAAAGCTATGTGAATTATTACCTAGAAATATTGGGAACCATGTTAGCACTTAAAATCTGTTTGGTAAATTATCAACTTATTATAATTTATGGTTATAAATAATTTACAATTATTGTAAAGATGAAAAATACCATGTGCATTTTGAAGCTAGGGAAAACTGTACCTAGCATGGATTATTAATCTGGTTTCTGAACTAAATGACATAAGTTGAGTTTCGGATTTGTATATTCATTACCACCTTAAGGTTTAGTATATAGAGTCGAGTAAAAATCATCCTTCAATCAAAATTCAAAATTGTTATAGCCACCCATTTAGTTGAACATATAACTCTGAACATCAAACTATTAATTTTCAATCAAAAAGCCACAACTGTGCCCGAAGGGACGCTGTAATAACTGGATTTGATACGTTGATGTCATCTAGAAAATGTCACAAAATATCAAAGCTGTGTAAAAGATAACAGGTTTACTGCTTTACCTTTATAAGATCGTAAAACAAGAAAGTAGGTATTTGCACACAGGAAATAATGTATGTTTAAATAGGGGAGACTGTAGTTTACAATCTTTTACGATGGATGTCGGTTTTGTGGTTTAAATAAAAGGTGTGTTGTTTTTTCTTTTTTTTCTTAATTAGTATTAAAATATAATTATTTTCAAAGAAAGAGAAATACTTATAATAGGAACCAAGTAAAATGTCACTTTTGCATTGTATTAAAAGTTCTTGAACTAAGTTTTTAATCATCATAAAAGATTTAATTAAAAATCAGATACGGTGAACTAAACCAAATACGTAGTGAAGTAAAGCCTTGAAAACCATTTAGGTGGCTTTAATGGCTTATAAACATTGTCCAGGTTTATTATATGCATTCATTATAACTTCAATGCAATATTAATTGTAAGTAAAATAGATCTTAACTCTAAAATTAGGTAAATTGCATTATTTTAGGTACATAAATTATTTAATTGGTTATTCAAATTCCAAAATAGGTGTTTGTATCTTTAATTTAAATTTTTAATGGACAGTATGTTGAACTTTGAAAGCTATTTACAAAGATAAAAAAATAATTGTACAAAATCCTAATATTATTATACAAACTCTGAAAATTGCTAAGCGGCCTAAATTTTGGAAATTATATAAAAATAATGGAGACTGAAATTTCATAACCTGAATTATTTCATTTATTTTGGATATTTTATACTACAATATACTAGCAATAATGATAGCCATGATGAAAATGGCAATTGTCATATTAACACGAATTCTAGGAAAAGGGAGAAATAGATGGACGTTACATTGCTATATTATTGTCTTTATGTCTAAAAAAGTTCATGATTATTGTCCATATAAAGCGACCCAGACATATTGAACATCAGACATTGCGTGTTGTCTGGTTTGTAGACAATTATCATAACGTGACTGGACTGTCGTGTGGTGTTGTGCTGTGTTTGCAGAGAACTCACCTCTGAACATCAATATAGGCTTACTAGGTTCATATTCCTACCTATCTAGTA